ACATAATAAAAAGGGAAAGACAAACATAGAGAACAGGATCATATAACAACAGCTTAAAAAACATAGACAAATATAAAGGGAAAGATAAGATTCGCATTGTATAAGATGCATTTAAGAGAAAAACACTTATTTTTGGAAATATTTTTATTCTCCAGAGTCGAACCCGAGACCTCTTAAAAAAAAAGAATCTCATTTATCACACTATATCTCTTGAGGTGCGATTGGTCTTGATAATTATGCTTATACTCAAATTGATACTTGGATTTTATCAATGTTGGATGTCCATGTCACAGAATTTGATATAATGGGAAAGCAAATGATAGAAATAGAATATTGGAAAAATTGCTATTGATGGCTTAAAGTAGCTCAAGCCCAAGTGCTCCGTTGGCTTTACAAATTTGTTCGGTACTTTTTCCGGGAGACACAAAATTAGGAGCTTAATTACCTTATGTAGCGGAAACCTGTATTTCAAAAAGTAAAAATAATTTTATAACAAAAATATATACAATCCAATAAAAACGTACATATTACATACACAAAACAAACAATTATGTTTATTGTATGCAATCTGGCAATTGATATACACAAAACATACAATTATGTTGTTGTATGCATTTTGTATATCATGTGTTGTCACTGTATATCCAGTAACACATTAGACATACAAATAACATACACCTCACACACATTCGACATACAATTATTCGACCACTACACTACCACCAGAAAATCACCATGCCAATCACCAAAAATCACCATAACCATTATTTCTTCCACCACAACAATTTGAAAATAATTTCCTCCCCAAAAATACTTCTATATATTTTAAACATGTGGGATTTTGTTCTAAAAGTTTTTCCTGGTTAAATTTGCGCATTTTTGGAAATCCTGTTTCCAGTCAAATATGCGACAATCCAGTAAATATTAAACACGCAACATTTTATTCAAAATTAAATTATTTTTCTATTTTATTCATGCATTAGTTTTGTGAATTCATTGTTTTTTGCCCGATCGTAATAAGCTTGGCCAAAACTTCATTTTTAGGAGAAATTTAATTTAATTTTAAAACACACAACCTTTTGTTTTGAGTTAAATAAAGTGAACACAGGTTGTGGCAAGATATGAATAAGATCCATTTATCCTTAATTAAAGGGGAGTTTTATAACTTTACCCATAAAAATCAAACTAATTACCCTTGCTTACCTATTTATTTTTCTACCCATCAAACTAATTACCCTTCATACCGATAGTAGATTTTGTGGGTAACTGCCTATTTTTTCTCCTTTTATTTTTCTCGTTTTTTGTTTATTCTTTGCTTTTTTCTCCTTTTATGTTTATTTTCCAATCAAATTATTTTTTATTTATTTTTTTCACCATAATCTGATTCCATGCTCAATTTTGGCTCTTTTTTTCCTTTTGTTCATTTTCTTTATTTCTTGTTCCACTTTTGATTTCATTTAAATCTTTTTTCCTTTTATTTCCTTTTTTCTGCATAATCTAATTTTATTCACTTTTTTTGCTCCTTTTCTTTATTTTTTATGTGCAATAATAAAAAAAAATAACTAATATAGAAAAAATTCATTCATCTTTTTTAATATAACTGATATAATATATTATTGTCTTACTTTCTCAGTAGATCTTTTTCTGTAGATCAGTTATAAGAACAGCTTATACATTATACCTGGTTTCTCTTCTCTTTTTTCCTTTTTTTCTTTTCTTATTTTCATTTATTATTATTTTCAAATTATTTTTCTTTTAATTTTTTTTAATAATGTAATGATGCACATCTTTTTCGCTCCTTTATTTTTGTTCCTTTTTATTTATTTTTTTCCCTATTTTTTTCATTATATCAACAAAAGATAACTGGTATAGTATATTTTTTATTAATTTTATTAATTTTTATATATTATTTATTAGAAAATAACTTATTGTAGCATATAGTATACCAAAAAAACATATTAGTGTAGTTGAAGTATATTATTGCAACATATTATTATACACATATGGTATATATCATATATTGACAGGGTATCATAGAGGACTAGCCACTTCTTTAACAAACAAAATACGCATCAGTCCCCTATGATACCCACATGGTATATATCATATACTAACATAGTATCATAGACATCTGGTTCATTCCTTCTAGAAACACACTCAGTCCTCTATGATACCCACATGGTATATATCATATACTGATAGGGTATCATAGAGGTTTGGTTCATTCCTTTCATAAAGACATCCAGTCCTCTATGATATCAACCTGGTATATATCATATACTAAAATGGTATCATAGATGACTGGTTTATTCTTTCCAAAAAAAAAACTATTAGTCCTCTATGATACCCATATAGCATATATCATATTCTGTCAAGGTATCATACAATACTAGTTCTTTCTTTCAAGAAAATTAGCAATATATTATTATAATTAATTATATACTTTTGAATTAATTACTATATACTAATATAACATATAGTATAACACGTTGTTATCTTCTTTGCTAGTTCTACTTAATTTTGGCTTAAATTCCAAAAATCTCCACCAAATTTACTCAAAATCTAGTCATAGCCTTCAATCAACATTTCGAACATGACTCAAGTGAAAATCGAATCAAAACAACTATTTTTCCTATTTTTTCATGGAACTCCATCAAAAGAAAATATTTGCAAGGACCTAGTTGGAAAAAATAAAAAATGACTTATTTATTACTGTATACTATTATATTATATTGTATACGATAACAGTATAGTGTTACTGTAACCATGACTTTAGCTTTGCACAATAGCACCTAGATGATTCAACAAATAGTAGTCGAAGTATAGTATTATAGTATGTTGTATACTATTACAGCATATTGTTGCAGTATATTGCATGTTATTACAATATACCTATATTGTATGCAGTAATAGTTTATTGTTGCTATATACTCCTACAGTATATTGTATATCGTAGCAGTATACTGTTAGGTAGCTGTGTTCTTCTTCGATTATTACAGTATATCGTTCCAGTATATTGTATATATATAACAGTATATTGTTGCAGTATAGCTATATACTCCTACAGCATATTGTATGCTATAGTGGTATACTATTGGGTAACTGTGTTCTTCTTCGATTTTCAATTAAAAAATTTGATCTCAATCACCACAAATCAGCTCCAAAATGCAATCAAATTTCAGTATGAACTTCCGTAAGGTACTATAAGAAATATTTAATAACACCCACTTTGAATCAAATAAGAAATCTTCAAAATAAAAATTTTAAATTCAAGAGCTTCAAGCCCAACAATGGTGGATATTCAAATACACATAAAAATGCAGATCTGGGAAGCTTACTCGAAGGTACTATAAGCAATATATACCCACTTCAAATCTAATACTAAAATCTTCAAGCTGAAAAATCATAAATTTGGAATTTAGGAGAAAGACTATCACACCTCCTTTTTCTCGAGGGATGGGGAGGTTTTCCAATTAAAGTGACATTAATCGAAATGAGATTATTTATTTTAATTTCAGAGTCGCCACTTGGAATAAATTATGGTGTCCCAAGCCACCGGTTTGTTTTAAAATCCCAAATTGAGGAAATTGACTCTATTTTTTGATCCGCGGACAGAAGACCGAGTAAGGTAATCTGTTAACCCGGGAGAAGGTGTGAGGCACTCCTGAGTTCCGTAGTTTTAGCATGGTCGCTCAACTATTAATAATTGGCCTAATTATCTAATTTAATACATATTTAACACCTATTGTGTATTTTTAACTTTCTAACCGCTTTTAATAGAGTTTTAATCGCTTTTAGAATTTATGAAATTCATTTGAACAAGTCGCGATGTCGCACACTCATTTATTTTTATACATATTGCAAATCGCATCACGTGAAACACACCCGCGATTTACAACATATTTATTTTTATTATAATTGATTTGAAGTTATGACCGAGTCACGTGAAACGCACACTGGAATTGGGGATTATGTATCATGACTATGCCACGGGAACCGTACCCATAGTCACGATGATTTATTGTTAATCGCGCATAAAGCAAGTAGCGCGCTTGAATTATTTTCCTAATCTTTGGGATTTTTGTGATGCCAAATTTATGGACAAGATATTATTGGGGAGTAAATAGGCTAGCTAACATGATCTATTACTTGGCCCAAATTCCTTATGGTTCAAGACCCACCTTATGAGTTATTCTTATTCCTTACCAAGAAAGAAACAACTCCAAATTTTCCATCTACCCAATTTAATAACTCATTTAAATCACCACTTCAACATGCTAAAACAAAGGCAATGTAACATAACCACATAAGTAAGAAAACTAAATCAAAGTCCATAGGGTATAAACAGAAATCGTCCAACCAAACTTACATGTATTCAAACGAATTAATCTTTAAGACCAATATATAATCCAAATAATACGCAATCAGTACACAATTAATACGAAAGAGATCAAGTGTTTTCCATAGAGCAAATGGAATCCGTCGCGAGCAAATAGAAACACTAATATACCAAAGCAAGTGTATACTTAAAATGTAAACAAATACTGAGAAAAATGAATTCGAATGGACCTTTATATTAACGAATAAAGCTGAAAATTTGCAACTCAATAGGAATAACAAAGCAACAATCGTTGGACTAAAACGCCAAAATTGCGAACCGGAACCTCGATTCGGCGCCAGAAAACTCAACCAAACACGGATTTAGACCCAAATTCTAACCAAAGTCCATCAGTTATCCTCTGAATCTCAAACACCCATAAATTAAGCCCTTCAATTGTCTTCTTAGTCCATGCACAATTGATTTTTGACTCGTCAAAGGAATTACCAGAAGAGAAGAAGCGGCCAACGAAGCGGAAAAGAGAGACGATCAACAGTGAGAACAGAGTACAAAATCAAGTTTACAGAGGAGTTAGAATGAGAAATTTTGGAAAATGGGTATCTATATTCGTGAACCTAGTAAAAAGTCACGTATTTGGCTTGGCACTTATCCTACAACAGAAATGGCCGCTAGAGCACATGATGTGGCTGCATTGGCTATCAAAGGAATTTCCGCCATTCTCAATTTCCCTTATCTCATCGACTCTCTGCCTCGTCCAGTGTCAAATTCACCTAGAGATGTTTAAGCTGCTGCTAGGTTAGAGGAATTGTAGGAGCATTTTTGTTGAGGGTGGCGGCAGAAGCTTTAGGAATTAGGTCCTCTTTTGATTTAGGTTCTAGGAGTATTTTATGTGATAGGAAGAAGAAATGTAGGCCATTGGATGAAAGTAGATCAGGGGCTATGATTAAGGGAGGGGTTTGATGGGTGAGAAAAGGGTTTGGGCTGAAAAAGATTGAGAAGAATGAGCTTTTGTCTTGCTGGGCCATTAAAATCTGAAAATGAGCCCCCAATTGGCCCAATTTCGAGTTATTCAACTCTTAGAAAACTAAAAATTCATTAACTAAAAACCCAAACCTTCTCGTAAAAATAATTTGAAGTACTTATGAAAATATAACATTACTCTTAGTTAATTAGAAAAGACTTCTAAAATAAAACTAAATATTAAAGTGAAGTTATTTTTGTATTTTCAATTTTATGTTTAAAAGTTAAAATAAAAGATAAAAATATACTAAAATTCTATAAAATCAAATAGATACTAAAAATACTACGAATACTAAAAATAACTCTTAAAACCAGTGCGGGTCAAAACTTACGTGCTTACAGCTGCCCCTCTTTACTTGAAAACACGAAGTATTTTTGAGCAAAGAAACAAGTAAGCAACGTAATTGATTTATGACCCGACACTTGTTCAAAAGAGAAGAAATATGGATAAAAGATTGTGACCGAGACCTGGTATCTGAGCTGCCTACATATCCTTGGCTATAAAAGGAATCATGCCACGTGCAGTCCTGAAGTGAATGAAGTGATGGAGTATGTGGAGAGGATGAGAGAGTCGAGTGAGGTTCCGTCGAGGCTCCGGTCCGTGGTCCTGTTATTACATCAAAATCAAAATCTAAAAGAACTAAACAAGCCTATCAGCTATGAGTTACAAAATTCCTATCCATAAGTTTTTTGAAACTTGATCTTGAGTCTTGAATGGTTCTTCATGGAGACTTTTAATTTGAACATTGATGCTTGCTAGCTGCAGGTGCTAGTTCATTCTTCTACGACTTCTTCTGATAAAAACGGGGAATGCAGTGCTTGTGACTTCAGTTATGTCTTAAGCAGTTCACATCTTTTCTCCGCTTCTGCGCTTTGAATTCACTTCTTTTCCTTTTCTTCTCTCTATTTTGGCTTGAGACTTCTTTTGTTCATCTCGAACCATGTGCCTCGAGGTATAAGCTGCTCACGTACCAAAACAAACAAACGAACGAATTTTTTCTACCCCATTTTCGCTAGGATAATTTCGTGAGTTATTGGTACCAAAACTCTATACTACTTCATTATTGAAAGCACTAAAAGGTCGGGATTGGTGTACCCTGGAAAAAAGAGACTAGGGAGTGGAGACCCTATGTTGGAAAGACTAACAACTTGAGGAAACTAAAAACTGACCTCATTCTCCAGGCGGGCCCCCGAACTAAAGAAAAACTAGAGATTGAAAACTTAAGGAAACTAACATTGACCCTATTCTCCAGGCGGGACCCCTGAACTAAAGAAAAACTAGAGATTGAAAACTTAAGGAAACTAATAATTATTCTCCAGGCGGGACCCTTGAACTTTAAGAAAAACTAAAGACTAACAACTTAAGGAAACTAAAAACTGACCATATTCTCCAGACAGGGACCCTGAACTAAAGGAATGCTAAAGATTAATAACGTAAGAAAATTAAAAGCTGACTTATTTTCCAGGCGGGACCCCTAAACTTAAGGAAACTAAAGATTAACAACTTAAAAAAACTAAAATTGACCATATTCTACGGGCGGGAACCCTGAACTCAAGTAAGACTAATGACTAACAACTTAAGAAAAATAAAGATTGATGCTATTCTCAAGGCAAGACCCCTCAACTCGAAGAAAGCTAAAAATTAACAATTTAAGAAAACTAAAAATCCACCCTATTCTCCAGGCGGGACTCCTGAACTTGAGATTACCTAAAGATTAATAACTTAAGGAAGCTAAAACTGACCCTTTTTTCTTTTCTTTTCTTTTTTTTAAAAAAATCCAAACTTTTTTTTTAACTTTTAATTATCCTAGGAGAAAATTCATCAGACTAGGTTTTTTTTTATCTTATGAGAAAGATTCATCTGACTAAGATTTCTATCTTTGAAGAAAGTTCATCGGACTAGGTTTTATTTATCCTAGGAGAAAAATTCATCAAACTAAGACTTCTATCCTAGAAGAAAGTTCATCGGACTAGGTTTTATTTATCTTAGGAGAAAAATTCATCAAACTAAGACTTCTATCCTAGAAGAAAGTTCATCAGACTAGGTTTTATTTATCTTAGGAGAAAAATTCATCGAACTAAGACTTCTATCATAGGAGAAAGATTCATCAGACTAGGTTCTCTCATCTTAGGAGAACGATTCATCAGACTAAGTTCTCTCATCTTAGGAGAAAGATTCATGAGACTAAGACGTTTATCCTAGGAGAAAGATTCATCAGACTAGGTTTGTATTTTTTTTTGTTATCTTAAGAGAAAGATTCATCAGACTAAGATTTCTATCCTAGGAGAAAATTCATTAGACTAGGTTTTATTTATCTTAGAAGAAAGATTCATCAGACTAAGATGTTTATCCTAAGAGAAAATTCATCAGACTAGGGCTTTTTATCTTAGAAGAAAGATTCATCAGACTAAGACGTTTATCCTAGGAGAAAATTCATTAGACTAGGGCTTTTTATCTTAGTAGAATGATTCATCAGACTAAGATTTTTATTGGAGGAAAATCCATCAGACTAGGAAGTATTACCCTAGGAGGAAAATGCGAATAGCAATGACATGATTTTATGCACACCAGCAAGACAATGACATGATTTTATGCATACCAGCAAGACAAATAACGGCAAAGATTTGAGAAACTTCCCTTTGTCGGCTGTTATCTTCGTTTCTTTTTTCTTTTCTTCTTTTTTTCATCCTTTTTTCCCTTTTTTTCTTTTTTTTCCTTTTTTTGTGAACCACTTTTCCGGTACAGATTTGTTCCTATTTCAAACAAAGAAAATTTTGTCAGTTTTAAAAGTGGTGGTCGGTTTGTGGCCTTGAGTCTTGGGCAGCTTGGCTTTGTGATCATGCAGCCTTTGGAAGACCGACTGCCTTGGTAGTTGGTTGCACTGGTGGGAGACTCTATTGTTGCTTTCAAGAGACCTTTACTTTTTGTATCAACCATGATTGTTTCGCTCCCAGTGCCATTTGTGTTTTGTGGTTCGATCAGCCTTATCTCAAAAAAGAGATTTCTTTTCTTAGATAACCTTTTCTGATATCTTGAATGGCTTTTGCCTTTGGAGAAATTTGTCTATCTAAGAGAATCGCAAATGGTAAGTGCCTTTTGCATGATGTGCACACTTCATAGTCTCTATTCAGTACTACAGGGAACCCGTAATCAATCTTTCGGTCTTCTTTGCTTGCTTTAGCCAAATAGGCTGACAAGAGTCTTTTGGGGGAGCCTTTGCATGAATCCTCAAGGCATGTAGACTGTAACAACTGAGTGTGCTGGCCAAATTTACTTTGTGCAACTAAAAAGCCGATAGCAGATTTTGAAATCTTTTCTTTCTTGTTTAGACAAGGATTGACTCAGAGTGAAGGACACAATGATGCAAAGAAATAATATTAACAAGAAATGCCCCTGTCGGGCAGGAAAGAAGAAAGATGAGTTGATTTTTTTTCCTAGTAACTAGCCTTAATGATCATGACATGCATTTTGGACTTAACAGCCTGAGCTATCAAACTGATCAAATCTTCCCTTTACCATTCTTATGACCTTTGAAGTCGGGCTTGTTCATGCCAATTCTTTGTATCAGCTTCACGACTCACTTTCGGCTAGTGATGCCCTGAGGGATTTTCACCAACAAGTCTCTCTCATTTGTTTATCTCTACTTACCGTCGTCTTACAATGCCCGTGAGGGTTTTCACTAGTAAGACTTTCTCATTTTTTTCTTCTTTATTTTTCTTTTTCTTTTGCTTTCTTGTGTGAGCAACTTGACAATGTTCTATTTCGCGTGACAACCATTTCTCATTGCATGCTTCTCTTGGCATTCTTGAAGGCTTATCGGGAGGTCTTCTAGGGAAGGCTTTTGGATAGGGTTGCAAAGAAAGGACGGCATGAAGGCTCAAAGTAGACTCAAAATGAGGGGGTTGTAGACTTACAACTCTTGGAATCGACTCTTTCAAAAAACTAACACAAACTCATGCCCCAGTTTTAGATGCTGGAAATTTTTTTGAATTCTTGTTTGGTTGGACTGAACCGTGTAAGGCTGCCTACGTATCCTTTTTAAAGGAATCAGGTCCAACGTAGTTCAAACATCTGACCTAACTATTTTTTTTCATCTTTCTTTCTTTTACTTTGTCTTTCTTCTTCTTCTTTTTTTCTTTTTTCTTTTCTTCACTTTTTTTTTCTTTTGTTTCCAAAACAAGTTGCCCCGACTTTTATTTTAGGGGGCATGAATCTTTGACTGATATTTTTTCTCTCTTTTTTTTCACTTGAGCTTCTAAGAGTTGCCTCAGTTTATACTCTTGGGGCATGGATTTTTTCATTTCATCTTTTTTTTTTACTTTTAACTCGAAACTTGATTCCAAAATAGGGTGGTCAAAGAAAATAATACAGGCTCAAAAGGGGTAGCGAAGGGTATAAAGTGTTTGGGTAGCAGAAAAAGGGCCTCCCAGCCTCGAGAACGTCAAACATAGTATCCTTTCGCGATCACAGCATTGACGAGCATGTCTGTCTTCTTAGTGTGTCGTGGTTGAAAGACACTTTTCATCCATTAATGTCAAACTTTCCAACAAACTTCAATTGATTTTCTCAAACCCGACATTCACAATGATTTGAAGGTAAAGATCACTAACCTCCACGGGTATGACTATTCTAGTTCCACATGAATTTTAATCGAGATTAATTCCAAAGTGTTTCGACTATTTATTCATTCTCAAAAGTGTCTTTTTCTCAATTATCCAATTCAAGACTAAATCAGTTTTCTAGAATCTGGCCAAAAATTCTGCATGCATGTCATGTTACTAGAACTAGCAGGAACAGGATTAAGCACAGAATGACACAACAGGACAATCTATATTTCATTGAATAAAGGATGGAAAGTTTGGACAACAAGACAAAAAACCTAAAATTTGAGTTACAACCCTAAAATAACCTAGATAATGAAAATAGCAACAGAACAAATAGACAAGACTCACACAGACAAAATAGAGGGATGGAAGGGTGTAATACCCTATATTTTTTTATAAGGGTGTATTGGTCATTAGCATAATAATAATATAAGAAACTAACTATAAAAAAAACAAATAAACAAAAAAAAAGAATAAGGATTTCACAAAATGGGCCCAAACCCATAAAATGTAACTATATCAACACAAATGAAAGAAAGGAAAACGGAAAAAAGGGTTCTACTTCAGAACGCAGAAAACGAAGTTCAAAAAGAGGAGGAGAAGAAGAAGAGGAAAAAAAGGCTGGAACCAAACCTTGAGAAAACTTAAATACGTACTGGTTTTTACGGGTAAAACTCGAATTTCTCATCTGGGTTCTTTTCTTCTGGTAATTCTTTGTATCTCAGTTCATATATTTGAAGGGTTTCACAAGGTATATGAAATTAAATACCAATAAGAATTATTCTGGGTAAATTATATGAATAGGTTGGAGTTGATAGATTAGTAATTACTCATATGTGGGTAAATATAATTCGGCGAATTAAGAGTCAAATGTGGAACCTCGAGGGTTGGGTATTCTAAATTAGCTATGAATTAGCCTAAACATAGAAATTAACATGAGACTGGTATTAGGTAATTATAGATTGAATTGGAGGAAGTTGTACGAATTGCTCAAGGTGAAGCATTTGGAATTTCGGCACGAGTACTGTGAGTAGTAATCTTACCGCAATTTGTGTTTTCATAACCTGCATGATTTACACATTATTTTTAATATGAATATGTTACCGATTAATTTGAGTTGCATGTGGGACAAGTTTTTTACTTGATATGATACCGAAATAGTTATTTGAGATGAATACCGTGGTTTTAAATATTTTCGTTGTCACTAGATCTGTTTTACCGTTACTTGAATTTACTGTTACCGAAAAGAAATTATAAGATTTGATAAGAACCGAAATGCCCTATATTGTTTTAAAATATTTTTTATGAGTATATACGGATTATAGAGACAAGTATAAATGGGAGTAGATATTGAAGGATCCCATAGCTAACGGCGGGTTCGTTAGACCTGGTGCACCTTGTAATTACAAATTACCGTTATAGCCCTTGCTAGTGGAAGGTAGAACTAGCATACCGTTACCGATTTCTCTCGAGTAGGGACTACCGTTATATTTGACTTCTTGCAAAGAAGTTTACAGTTATATCGATTACATGATCCATTCATTGAAACCTCCCAAAATGTGAATATTGATATTATAAAGTGGTTACCGAGCTTATTACTAGATTGTTAATTGTATTATACTACAAGAAAAACATGATGAGACTGAAAATTATTTGTAGTTTCTGAAAGGGCATTTTTATGTATTTTTTCTTTGAGATACTAGCATGTTTCTGACTTGTCCCAAATAAAACGGTTGTGGTTAAGTGTTATTACTCACTGTGCTAGCGACTCATTCCCCGCTAATTTTTTTACAGACACAGCAGTTGACGCAGGCGAGGATTTCGTTAATTAGAGCGCACAGGTTGATAGTTCTTGGTGAGCCTCGCACTTGTTCGCGTGGGCGGAGATTTTATTTATTGTTATGGTCTTTTCATTGAACTATTATAGTCGCTCCATAGTCATTATTTTAGTGTCATGATTATTCTTTTGTTATTATAGTCTTATGTTGAGTATCATTCTCATTTATCAAAGTTGGGGATAAATTAGTATTTCTAGTGGTTACTTAGTGGTTTAGTTATGGTGGAGACTTGTATTGGTTAATTGACAAGTTACCAATTATTTGGTATGATATTAGGATGTTTGGTTGTTGATTTGAGACAGGAAAATTTTTGGGATGGTCCAAAAACAGGGGACGTGGTGCTGGACGTGGTGCTGGACGTGGTGCTACTCGGGGTGGCGGTCAAGTTGGGGTTCATCAAACTAGAAGACAGACTGCTCCTCAACCTCAAGTTGGGAACACGGGTCAACCCCAAGCTGTTATGCCAGATCAAGTGCAAGAGCAGGGAGTTCAGAACGCTCCACACCAGTGCCAACTGTTGTACCTACTGTTGCCTTACCTGCAGATGCAGTGGCAAGGTTATTGAATGTGTTAGAGGCAATGGTGCCTACTCAGGGAGGAAGTTCAGCTCCTCAGGATACTTTACTGACACAAGCACCTGCACAAACTCGAACTTTCGGAAATAACAAAGTATCCCTACAAGAGTTTCTGAAATTGAAATCACCAAAATTCACAAGTTCCGATAATTCAGCAGATCCTCAAAGTTTCCTGGATGAGACACTTAAGGCATTATGTGCTCTTGGATGTTCTAGTGAGAGAGCCGTGGAGCTCGCAGCATACAAACTAGAGGATATGGCCAAAACATGGTATGAAACGGTATTGCAAGGAAGGCCAGCAGGAGCACCACTTGTCGATGCCCCCTTTTTCTTCTTAAAGGCAAAATCTGGTTTACGACATTTGGGAGGACAACTCTTTTCCCTTTTGGGATTTGAAAACCAGAGTTTGGGTAAGGGCTAGAAATTATCTCGAGGGGAAGGTGTTAGGCACCCCCCAAGATCCACTAGTGTGGTTCCCGGCCATGTTACAATTGTGACTTCACTTAACAAGTAAGCAAATAAGGGTTCAAATAGAGGGAGTTTTCACATAATATTGCAAGTAAAAATGGAAATTTGAGGAGAGATAAAGAGGGCAGAAATTTTAAGAAAAGATTTAAACAATAAATGAAAAAAAAAAACAAATAAAGGGAAAGGGGGGTCCTAGGTTTATAATCAATATGGATCACCCCACACAACACCCGGTAACCATTTATACACGTGGTGTTATCGCGTGGGCATCATATCCATATTCTACCCTTCCCACCCCATAAAGGTTATTAAACGCGTGAGTTGGTCACGAATACTTATTGCGTGCTATTACCCGTCCCGTCCTATAAGTCCTGGAGGGTATTTAGGACCACTATTCCTACGTGGTGGGGACTAGGCTGAACCCTTAAGTTTAAAGGCAAAAATGCTAAGCGACATACATAACAAATAGGATTGCACATAAGGGGAACATACAAAGGCACATAGAGGCTCACAGATCCCTCCACAAGTGAGCTCATAATTAGAACATCTCAAACACATTTAAGGTCTCAAAGACAAGAGTTTTAAAAGCCGGAATGTTGAAATAAAACAGTGAGTTTCAGTGAAAGCAGAAGCTTAATTAAGACTAACTGATTTGAAAAAATGCTAGTTTTCAAAAATACGACTTGGGACAGTAGTAGGATTTAGAAGTATACAGCAGTTTAGGAGTTAGTGAAAATATAGATAAAATCACTAAAACATTATTTGTAAATAGAGTAAAGGCATGGAGATACATTAACTTGACGAGACGTAGGATAAATATTTTGAAAATAATAGCACGATTCTGGGCAGAAAAGGGTAACCTAGTAGAAAACATAGTAGAACAGATACACAATTTCGAGATCATTTCAAAGTAGGGTGAGAGTTTAGTAAAACAGAGTGAAGTTCGGAGAATCAAAAATAAGAATGGGAGCAGCAGAGTTCAAAATTAAAAGAGGCTAATTAGTTTTAAACTGGTAACCACATGATTAATCAATTCTTATTAGGCCTAAAGTTTGCCTAGGCGTCATATACATTGTCTGATTGTCTTAGAGAGTGGACATGCATATTTGATTCTGATTTAAAAAGAAAGGATACGCATAGTACTTGTATTATTGGATTAAGCATGCTAATAGGCGTTTTCACAATTGCAATCCAGATAAGTATAAATCTCTAAGCAGCAGGATGTCTAATGCACAGAAGAGTTCCTAAAACATGATCTCTACTATGCCAATGCAGTAACGACAGTTTGTTAATAATTAAGATTACGAAGTGAGTACAATAACATGCTGAGAATAAAAGACCTAAAACAGGATTTCTAACATATGAAATGCATGTCCTAAGCAGGTTATTTATTGCGCAAATAGGTAAATAAAAACCTATAAACATGTTTTCTACCCAAAGAAATAAACATGCATACCCCTCCCCCATATTCACTATTCAGCCCCCAATCATTCATTTACAAATTATTACAAACCAGTAGTATCTGAATTACAGTAATGAAATAAAAAAATAAAAAGTTATTCTATAGGGAGCCTTCAGTAGGCCCAAATCCTCCAAACTTTACTGCCAAAATAGCCTTTCATAGCTTGGGTGTGCCAAAGTTTCCTAAGGACCTCGAGGGCTCTTGGGCCATGCTCACGTCCAGACTTAGTAACCAGGAGTTAAACATGTGCAGTGTGGAGATACCAGCCTCAGTGTGTCAGAGTTCAGAGGGTACTCAGGAGGTCCCCAAAGCAGTGCTCACACTGAGGGGGTGGAACTTAAGTATCTAGGAATAAAGTGAAGTGCAAGAGAGTTCGAAAATGTTTTGACAGTTGTTGAAAGGAATTTCACTTAAAACATTTCGTAAAACAAAGAGAGTCTGTTTAGTAAAACAATTTATTTATTTTTTTGAAAAGAGAATAAAGTAATAAGCAACAATCTAGACACAGCACCTCAAAAAATAGATTCATACACAGCCAAAGACCACAAAACCAAGGCAGGTCCAGCAAACACAAACAGGGATAGTGGGGTTAGGGACACATAGGACAAAACTGTAACCCAGCGAAGGCCTAGGACTAGCTCAAACACTTTCAGGCATAGTCATAGGAAAAACACAGATATGAAGAACAACCACATAGAGGGGTGATAGGGATTTGGGATAAGTATGCAAGTCATGCTTGGAAACACACATAAAGGGGGTATACTAATCCAAAGGGAAGGGAAGAGATAATAACATGCTAGTAATACATTTTAATTACAGATTCGCAAGAGAACCACAAATAGAAGCAAACTAGAGATAGTAAGAACTGAAACAAATAGAGAATCACATTGTTGTTGGAGCTTTGAATTGAAACTAGGACATACCAGTAAGAGAGCAAGAGCAGGATGCAAAGACAAAGTGATAACGCAATATTAGCCTTGGCTTACAGCCGGCTAATAATAGGCAAGAGCAGAGAACAGCAATAGAGCAAAAGAGCAAGAGAGAAAGAGCACAAGAGAATGTAGAATTGAGAGTATTCAGTGATGTGTGTTAATGAAAGAGTAGAGTATTTATAGTTCTGGAAACGAGTAGAAAAATAAGGTAAGAAGTAAAGTGTAGTGTAATTATGGAAGTAAATACAATCAGAATCCCAATCAATGTAAGTACTCCCCTTTAATTGGGGAGTCCTAGTTCAAATGGCTACCAGGGTGACAAATAAGGAAAGAGACTAATTGAAAGACTAATTTCAATCATACATAGAGTAGTAAAGAATAAGGTGTGTGATTAGGACCAAGTAGAGAACATATGAATTAAGGAAAGTAAGAATCAATTGGCGACATGCTTGCACATAAAATAAGGTAGAGTATCATTTTGAAAATCAGTAAGAGATCCCCTAGTATCGTAGGGAATCAGTTATCAGTTCAGGCAGATGTCAACAAGTAAGGAAATTCACAAAATCAGTGAAGAGTGTTAAGTCAAGTATCACAGTTAAAGGAAAATACATAAAATCAGCAAAGAGTTCTAAGGCAAGTATCATGGTTAAAGGAAAATACACAAAATCAGTAAAGTACTAGTCACAATCATTCAAGGATTCAAAGTGGCAAACTAATACTGATTTAAAGGTAATAAACACACATTAGACGAAAATCAGAAACCCTGGTATATAACATTAGGAGGCATGTGAGTCAGGGATGCGAGATGAACCCAAAGACAAACAGCATAGGGTAAAGATTAGTGAAACATGAACGCAAATGCAAGCACACAGGAAAAAAGAGCAGCTTTCAGGGTTCTAAGTCTAAAAATTAGGGTTTCACACAGATACTAGTACGAATCAATAGAGTAGACATGATACATCCAAAGGAGACGAAGAGCCATAAACCCTAATGGGTAAACAGAGTAGAATCACTAGAATTTCAAGCCATCCATGATAATCAAACACATATACTGACCCAATCACAAGGAAAAGACTTCAACAATGGTGAATATGAAGGAAAATCATGAGATAGTGTTAAAAATCGATAAAGAAAACCATTTTGAGAAAGGGTTTCGGAACCCTAGTTAAAAGTGAAAGTCCGTTCAGAAAAATAGAAAGTTTTTTAAAGGAAACATCATAATAACTCGTAATATGCGTAGATCTACTGTAAATCTAAAAGAATCGGAGGTTCCAAACATTAGGGTTTCAAAGAAAACCTCAGAGAAGATAAGAAGAACCTCAAACGTTACTGGTTCGAGCCTCAAAGGTCACAGGCCTCACTCGAAATCAAACTTCGGAGGCCTGAAGCAAACAGGAACACCATGGGTGTAAGTAGACGGGTCCTCGCCCTTCGAGGGCCTTAGGGATGACATTTGCCGGCATGAGAGAACCATACGAGGCAGAGGGTGAGGAATCCATGGTCTCCGGTTGAGAAGGTCGCCGGAGAAGATGAAGGGATTCGTCGGAGAAGGGGAAGAGACAGAAGTCTCTAGAAGAGACTAGAGATAGAGAGAGAGAGTAGAGAGATGAGAGACGGTGAAGAATGAGGGGTCAGCGGGGGTAGTTAGAACTTTAATTAAGGAAAGGTAATTTGGGCCGTTGATCTTATTTGATCAACGGCTCAGATTAAATCGGGGTTGGGCCAGGTTATATTAGGGATTGGGCTGGGGTGAGTTTAATTGGGTATTGGGTCAATTAAATCTGATGGGGTGTGTGGTTAAATTGGCTAGGATTGAAATAATAAAGGGCTGTTTGTTAAATAGCCAATTTTCTCTCTTTTATTTTTTATAAGATAGTTAAAAAAGATTTTAATACAAATTAAAGGTACTGGACTAATTAATAACGTATAAATATTAATAAAAAAATACTGGAAATGATTTTACAATTGTAAAATGCTGCTAATCGTAAAAATAGGCTATAATTGCAACTATATGCAACTTAGCTTTAAAAATACCAAACAAATGCGTAAAAAATATGCAAAAATTATCTTAATTATATCTTGGTGTAAATATGAGAATAAAAATAGGTTAATCACAAAAAGGATAATT